ATATTATCGTTTATCGCAATAAATTTTGAGACAATTAATCGCCCAGCAAAATTTGTTATCGTGACAGGCCTAGTCTGTGTAGGGCTCCACATCAGAGAGGATCCTGGGGACATGTCCAGGTTCTGAAGAGACAGAAAGATCAAACAAACCCAATAGAAACAGACGTAAAGTCTCACATTAAAGACCATATCATTGTTGACAACTGCACTGTTTTCATACAAATCTTATTGCTGATTGACTAAATATTCAGTTCTCCCACCTGARCAGGTGTACTCCACACTGACAGTGTGACAGTTTGGAGGAAACTCTGGTTCTATCAGTGCAGGAAGTCCAGTAGGTTCAGGCTGAACAATGCTGCTTGGTTGGAAGTTGCCTTAAAAAAAAACCCCACAAAACATATAATAAATTACTTTTAATAAAACAATGAGATAACAGGAATATATTCTGAGCACTTTCAGGCTTTTTTTATCCACACTGCTTCAAAACCACCTAAAGTTTAGGTTTAGGGTTTTAGGTTTAGGTCCTAAACCCTGTTTCTGTCCTGTACTGATGCTCAAGTTGAGCTTCAGCAAGTCGTCTTCATGTCTACAAGTCAAAAATCGTTTAGTTGCTCTGTTTGTGTAACAAGAGATTAAAGAGGTGGACCTAATAAAACAGTTTATCTTAGACCTCAGAAGATATTCTGGATGTAAAGCACAAGTAAAGCTGAGCTTTTAAAGCTTTTAAAGTAAAAAAAAAAAATCAATCAAAAACTTTAACTCAACTGTCTTTACTAAGGTTGTTAAAAAAAACCAACAGCTGATAAAAGCAGCAGCCAGGCGAATATATGGAATACACCTGTTGTACAAATACATATCAGTACAAGTACTTATAAATCAGCTCTATGTGTTGAGTCAGGTCCAGTTACTGTATATTCAAACAATCAGAAAACAAGGAATCAATCRGAGCTTTAATGTTTGTTTGTTTCTGTTCACTTTAAGGCTAAAACTTAAACAATTTAATGTTTAATTAAGCTCAATTAAATTTTAATTTTCTGTTTGTTTTCCTTAAAGCAAATATATATTATATACTCAAAGAAACTTTAGATTAATTTAACCAAGTTTGGTTCCACTTAAGTGAGTTCAATTAATTTAAAAATATGCTACATTTACTTTGAAGTAAATATGAAAATACATTTTTACATATAAATAAATCCTTTTTTTCTTATGATTTTACTTTAAATATACTTTTATATTTATGTTTTACTCAATTCAGTTGAGTGGAATTAGTTGTTATAACTTGGTGAAATAAATCCAATAAAACAACCGGTTTTTTTTTTTGTTTAATTTATTGGTCGTAAGTAGAAAATTAGTCTTTCACTTCCCTCACCAGCATTAAACAGCTTTGTTTAGGGTATTTCCTTGAAGGTGAGAAATATTAATATTTCTATTTTAAATAATGTGATCACTTTAAAAGATGCTGACAGTAAAATCTGGATGTTAGTGAAGAATATTTATAGTTATTTATGTAAAGTGGATGTTTTGGTACTCACACTGAGGACGGGGTATCTGTGCTTCTGTGGTTAGAGGGTCTAAAATAAGAGAAAAATATCAATATGTTGTTTTGTAACATACAGTTAACACTTTTCATTCATGATATGTGTAAATCTTGCAGCAACACATTTTCTGCAGAGGTTACAGTATACAAATATATTCATACATATATGACTTCACAAAGTACATATTTTTCTCCTAAGTTGAACTTAAATCAKTTACTTACATAAAGTCAAAGCGATGATTCCAATCCACATCAGCAGGACTTGAACACAACCCAAAGCTGCCATATTCAGATCATGTGAACAGTCGCAGGCATGGAACGAACAACAAATTATATTTTTTATCATCTAACATCTAAGTAAAGAGGAACGATGAGTCTCAGCCAGAAAATTTCCTGTAACATCTACATTAAGAACAGGAAGCTGTTTTCATGTGAATTTTCATACAGGAAACCAAATTCTTTAARCCCACAATTCTTATAAACTTTGTGAGTTTGTTCTGAGCTGCAGATACTGTAAACGTGGGTTAATTTCTCATGCAGCATTCTTTAGTCAGTTTAGATTTATTAAGTAATTAAGTTAAAACACGTTCTGCTGCTGACTAAAAAGCTGTACATTAGACATAAAAACAAATGTTTAACTTAAAAAAATCAGTAGAAACAAAACAAGATTGTGTTTTAAATTGCCTTTCCTATGAAACGTGTAAGAAATTTAGCACAATGCACATGATTTTAGTCAGTTTGTCACAGAACTGGCGGATTTTTATTCAGGACTTGGCGTGACCGAAGTGCAACAGGAAGTGACATGAAAGGGGAACATTGGGCTTTGTTTATAAAAACTCTGACTCTTGTTTTTCTTTTATAGTGGCTCAAAATAATCTAAAATTACAGTAGGTGTAATTTTTAAATAAGTGACCATGACATTCATCTAGGACGGACTACCAGTAATTCTGTACATGCAGGTAATTATCAGTGTATGCTGATGAGCTGCTGATAAGTGAGGCACGAGCTACAGGTCTGCTTCAGACTTGTTACATGTTAGTTATTCATTAGTTATGTCATTTATTTTGATCCTGAGTACCTTCACTTCTGCAGAGCTTACCGTCAGTTTAATTTATAGATAATGTTATTATGCATTGTAATAATGCAAACTATAATATTACCATGCTCTGCAGAGGTTCTGCAAAAGTTATACTAATGTTTCACGAGCTCTGTTCTTCCAGAAGTATAGAAAAGAATAGAGTAGAATAGAATAGAAAGCTTTATTTGTCTGACACCAAAGGTTACAGAAATTTGTCTTCGACAGAGCTCCATACACATATACAAAAACATTTCAAAGAAGCATTTACACAACATAAAAATCATAAATAAATTTAAAAAAAACTTTTTCATTGAGGGCTGTGACTGGAGTTGTAATAAATGACTTTTTGTGTGTTGCCTTCTTAGCCAGTGGTACATTGTATCTCCTACTTGATGGAATTAAGACTGAATGAATGATGGAGGGGATGCAAGGGTTCCTCTGTGATTAGGATGGCTTTCCTAATCACAGCGCGTTCATGCAGATGGGACAGTGGAGTTTGTGTCAAACCAAATATTTTACTAGCTTGATTTTTTTTCTGTTCATAACTTTTATGGACAGAATTTCTAGGAGCAGCCAAGGAGTTGAGGGGATCCGTTTTGGTGACCTCAGGATCGCATCTCTGCTTTTTGTGGATGATGTGGTCCTGTTGGCTTTTCATCAGTTCGTGATCTCCAGCTCTCACTGGAGCGGTTCGCAGCCAAGTGTGAAGTGGCCGGGATGAGGATCAGTACCTCTAAATCCGAGACCATGGTCTTGAAATGGAAAAGGGTAGCATGCCGCCTCTGTGTCAGGGAGGAGGTCCTGCCCCAAGTGGAGGAGTTTAAGTATCTCAGGATCTTGCTCATGAATGAGGGAAGAATGGAGCGGGAGATCGACAGGCAGATTTGTGCTGCGTCTGCAGTGATGCGGGCGCTGTACCGGTCTGCCGTGGTGGAGCGAGAGCTGAGCCAGAAGGCGAAGCTCTCGATTTACCGGTCTACCCTCATCTGTGGTCACGAGCTTTGGGTAGTGACCAAAAGAAAGAGATCGTGGATACAAGTGGCCGAAATGAGTTTCCTCCGCAGGGTGGCTGGGCTCTCCCTTAGAGATAGGGTGAGAAGCTCGGTCATCCGGGAGGGACTCAGAGTAGAGTCGCTGCTCCTCCACGTCGAGAGGAGCCAGTTGAGGTGGCTCAGGCATCTGGTTAGGATGCCTCCTTCCTGGTGAGGTGTTCCGGGCACGTCCCACTGGGAGGAGGTCCAGAGGAAGACACAGGACACGCTGGAGGGACTATGTCTCTCAGCTGGCCTGGGAACACCTTGGGATTCCCCCAGATGAGCTGGCCCAAGTGGCTGGAGAGAGGGAGGTCTGGGTCTCTCTGCTTAGGCTGCTGCCCCTCTTGTGATCCTAAGGTCACCAAAAAGGATCCCCTCAACACCTTGGCTTGAATTTGGTTCAGTACTGTCCCCATGTAACAACTTCTGCAGCCAATAAAAGTTCAACCAACCCATACTCTAAAGATACGTATAATCCTAAATAATTTCCAATCCATTGCTGCCTTTTTCCCAACTTCTCAATTTCTCTGTTTCAGCAATGATTGGGATTTTA